CTTAGCAATATATTTAATGAAATCAACTTGTTCAATACCGGTACATTTAATATTCCGTGTGGAATAAAACTGCACTTATTGTATTATTAAACCAATTGCAAATATTGAATAAATAAATAAGCTTATTTTATTTTGTTAATTTCACCAAATTATATTAACATTGATCAATACCTTGACATTGTGTTTGAATTTAGCATCAAATTGAGTTGAAATCACGCAAACTCACCATTTAATGATTGCATCGTATATTTGAAAACATAGGTAATTACTATTACGTAACTATAGTATTACTATTATGTCAACTTAACTATAGTCGCGTAGTAACGTAAATGTCATAATAATGCTCAAGGTTATTATTATAGTAAGGACAGGTACTTCAATTGACTTCATGTTTTAGGTTATCACTGCCTTTTGATGTTGTCGTAGAGACTCAAAAAAATATACGTGTACAGTTTTCACTAAACATTATTCAGCATACATTGATGTTTACTTTCTAGTGAACCTGGTGTAATTATTAAACAATTGACTGAAACTTTTAAATACATTGCAAACAATTCATACAATCAGTGGTGATGTCTGGCCAGAAGTTTGAGCGAAAATGTTTGGTTTGTGGCGATAAAGCTCTCGGTATGTATTCAATTGAATTCCGGTTTTTAAATGCATATATCATGGCTTCGTATCCGTGATTTTCATTGACTTTATTTTACTGTTTTATTGCATATGAATATCACATATATTTTCTAAATCTATACTTTATTTCAATAATTAAACGTTAATTTCAATGAATTTTAGGCAAGAATTTTGATGCCCTGTCGTGCGAGTCGTGTAAAGCATTTTTTAGACGTACGGCACTGAAAGAGACGGTATTTCGCTGTTAATAGTATTCACGAAATACTTATCATTTACTTTCGATGTCTAATATAATGATGTAATTAGGAGTTTAAGTGCGAATTCAATGACAACTGCGATATCGATGCCTACACCAGAAGATTCTGCATTAAGTGTCGGCTCCAGAAATGCCTCGACATCGGTATGAAAAAAGTGAGTCCAGAATATTCTTGAATTCATATAACATTTGGTTTAATATTAACACATTATATATCCATTTGATTGAAAGGAAATGATTCTCACGAGTGAAGCAAAAC